CAAATTAAGAAACTGGATTTCTCATCATTGTAGTTGCTTGTACTTTTGCATAGTGGACCTGGTCAGTTACATATAAGAGATAGGTGTCAAAAACTAATTTAGATTCGAGTTCATATTTCATGTGCGAAAATGTGAAATTAAATGCAGTTGTCAATGTGTTCTTATGATTGTACCATGTCAATAATACATAACTTATCGCTTGAAAGCACTACATATGAGAGGAGAAATATAGGGAGCTAAGAGATTCTGCCATCTGGAAGATATAGCTGAAAATTGAGTGGTAAAAGTAATTTGATTCCTTTTCTCGATTGTTAATTGGGTAAATTGCAACACATAATTCTGTACTTCTGTTGGAGGCATTATCTATTGCTTGTGCTAGGTAAATGTTGTGTAATCCTTCAGCAGATTTTCGGAATCATAGGTGGCCTTTCACTAAACTATTGCTTGTCTTGGTTGGGACCTATAATACCTTCTTGATGTGAATCAGTGCAAGAGGCTTTTTTTAACAGTTTAAATGTAAAATGTTTCAGATTCAAGAAGTGTATGATGAAGCTGGACTCTGGGGCTTCTGGAAAGGTGTATTCCCGACATTGATCATGGTATGTGAGAAGTGACTGTTGGATGTGGTAAGGGGGCACTGTAATTGATCAGATTATTTTTACAGGTGAGTAATCCTTCTATACAGTTTATGCTGTATGAAACAATGTTGAAGAAACTGAAGAAGCGTACCTTGGAAAAGAAACGTAGTGGTGAAATCACTGCTTTGGAGGTAAGCTTTCAGCTCATTTCTTCCTGTTTCATGCTTGTCACCTCTTCTAATAATTTCATTTTCTTCTTATTTCATCTATCCCCTGTATCCTTCCATATAAGTTGCCCTTTCTTGGCACTGTTATCTAAATGAATAACTTGGTTGTGATAGATATTTCTACTTGGAGCTTTGGCAAAACTAGGAGCTACTATTGTAACATATCCTCTTTTGGTTGTGAAGGTAATGAAATGTTCTTGGCAAAGTTTATTCTTAAAATCAAGTTTGATAAAATTTTATGCCTGAATAACTGCAATTGGATTGATCCAAGTTCTTCAAGATGAAAGAAGCACTCTGTGCACGTGCAATTTTGTTAGTTCTGTTTCTTTTCCATTAACAGGCACTTCTATTGTAGCACCATACCTTACCATATTGTTTATTTATTTATTTTGCATCATTAGCCCTTTCCCAATGCCAGCTGTCTGATATTAAATTTCTGTTTTAGTAGCATTTTTCCTGCTTGAATTTTGGCTTCTTTGATCTATTTCCCTCACTTCATAGGTTCCTGATGTAAAACTTCCTATCTGTATAGAAGCTTTATGAGGAATGATTATAAGAGAACTACAAGAAATTTTGGCTCCCTGAAATTCATTATCGCATCCACCGTGGTTAGGATTCATTGAGTATAAGTGCAGCTGTTGAAAGAGATATGTCAAATTGAAATGTGGGATAAGCCAAAATAAATGATGAAGACAGAACCGATAATTTGGATTTGTATGCTTGATAGTTCATGTGATCATGCATTTGTCAGTAGCAAATGTATTATCTTTTTCTAGTTCATCAGGTTCTTTGTTACTTTCTTGATTTGCAGGCAAGGCTTCAAGCAAAACAGGTCACAACTGTGGACAAGCGAGA